CTGTCTCCACCACTTTTGGGGTGTGTGCTAATTCATTTGAGACTCCCCACCCTTTAATCACAGAGGGTGGAAGTCTGTTCCTAGGAGCTGTTGCTGTTACAATGAAATGAAAGTCACTTAAGGCTTATAGTGTTTGTTTACATTGTATCAATTACTTCAAGAACAAAGTCAATTACTTTGTAAGTTTTACATAGTAATACAGTATCTTTCACAGGACAGACACAATGGTTTCTACAGACAGTAGCTTACAAGTTTTAACAGAATACCCAAGAGATTTTTGTACTTGGTGAAATTGTTGGATTTTAAAGTGTGGGGGACAAATTATGGGGGGGGGCACTGTTATTACCTTCTTTAGTAACCCTACATAATCCCCCTTTTGACCCTACGATATTTATATAATCGTTAGTGTCACTTTCTTTTTAACCTGTTTAAGAGAAGGTACTGTGAGGTAACATGCGTTTGTGATTCCAATTTAGAGTACATTTTTTTTATCTGAAAACATGCCCCACCTACTAATTATACAAATACAATTTAATATCAAGACTACTATCAAGGGGTGTAGCATTACTGATAGGATGCCAGTGGTAGTCGGGGACCATCCAGAGAATATCATACCAGTGGTAGGTTGTAATTTGCTTCTCTGCGGTGGCAATTCGTAACATGTCCCCATTGGCATATATAATATGAATAGTCTGATTTTCTACATGGTCATTTGTCTGTTCCAAAAATTTGGTCACTTCTTTGCTTTTAATTAGGCTATCAGTAAGATCTTGCCATCTAACGTCGAGCCAGTTAGTGTTAGCTGGGACCTTTTTGGCCGCGGTAAATAGTAAGTGTGATTTCTAGTAAAAACAGTACTGACATTGCATTTACATTCATCTACTGGGGGGTTGCTAACACGCCCATCCTCCCAAAATACTTCCTCCCACGAGTGAATACATACACATTGTTTATTGTACAATACTTTGGTGTCATTATCCAATTCATCCCACATATGTGATCCCAATGAAACATCTTTACTACTAGGCTCTGGGGCAACAGGTAAGGTGAGGTATACCCACTTTTGAGGAGTCCATTCGGTACAACCTCTAGTGTCCAATAGTTTTCCTCCCTCCCCAGCCCACTGACTCGAGGTCCGAGGCAGCCAGAATTGGCTAACCTTCCATACCTTTGCCTCCAGAGACTGTTGATGTGCTATTTTTACAATTATTTCCCCAGTTAACAAGTCTGGTTTCACAGTGCTGGAAACATACTGCATCCAGTCATATTGGTAAGTATCAAACAGAGAACTTTTCCTTTGTTTTAACAAATGCATTAAAACCTTAATATTACCTGAAATAACCCAAAACATTTTGTGTTCCAAAGTAGATAGGGCAAGCATCTGCATTTCAGTGCATCCCATATGAATGGGTCACACTTTATGTAATTGTTTTAAGGCAGAACCAACATAACAGGATTACTAATAGGACAATGATGGAATGAAAAATTATATTTAGAACTGCTGACCAGGTGGGCTGCTCCTACAACACTCTGCCCCTTTATCTATGATTATTACAGTAGTTGTTCTTGTAGGGCACAGGTGATCTGTTGCAAACAAACCAAACAATTATAACCAGGTGAATATAACTAAAACCATTACAATTGACTAAACACCAGAAATAACCTAAACACAAATGTAAACAATTATAGTTATAATAATTGGGAATACAAGAAAACCATCACCATTACAATAATTGGGTACATTGACAAATAAAATGAGGCCCAAGTTTGATGCTGCAATAGCCATCAAACAATAAAAGTCACTGAGGTCAGGACCTTCTTAAGCACACACAACAAATAAGATTTTGTAGGAGTACCACAGTTGTCATGCAAGATTAAGCTGATTTGGACTTAAACTAACATTTAGTTACTAAAATGTTGCAGAATCCCCTATTCCTAACAGTTGTTTTTAAGAGGTCTCTGGGGACCTAAAAGATGGGGCCCTGCAATTATGGGCCAAGGTCTTACAGGTTATGGGGGCCCAAGAACTACCCTTTAGGGCTTGGGGAAGTAGAACCAGAGTGCATAGAGGAACGTGTGGAATTAACAATACAAGCAAATGTAACTAACAATACAAATGTATAAATAACAAAAATTAACAAAATGACTATTAGAGAAACTAGCAAAAAAAAATAAACCTGATGCACTGGAGACCAAAGTCTTTTGGACACAAGTGATGATTGATAAGTTGGGTGGACATGGGGGAAGTAGAGAGAAGAAAAGACATTTGCCCTGTCCAGTGTAGTATCCCCTCTTGAATTATGTGCATTATCCAAGTTGGTTCATAAATTTGTTATCAATAGTTCCTTCGTTTTTGGCCTTACCAGTGAGGAGTAGTGGGACATTGGAACATAAGTAGTACTCAACACAATCTTCTGCAGAAAGGCCATTTTTCTTTGTCCAATTATTTCCAGTAAATGTTTGATGCAACCCAAATTTTTAGTAGGAAACTATCTTAGCTGCTTTTTGCTATAGCTCATGGATGTTTCAGAAAGTATGTAACTCATATGACTAGCAACAATACCAAAGCAGATACAGTTGAAGAAAAACTAGATTGTTTTGTGTAAAATGCTGAGTAATGGAATAATTTAACTTTTACCACTCATCAAAAAATAAAAATTGAATTCTGCCAAGCCTACCCTATATATTGGTTATTCAAGCTATCTCAGATGACCCAAAGAGCTCTTGCAGCTACATAAATGTATTTTCATTTCTGATACCAAGTTATGCAATGTTTAACTGTAAAAAGTCCCAATGCTTAAATCTTGACCCCATGTATCTTATCTACCTACATTCTTATAGCCACTGTTCACGCTTCTATCTGAGCACCTGAGGGATTATTCAAACCTGACTCAGGTAAGCACTCATTGAAAGTTTTATCTGAGTAAGGATGTAAAAATTTGTCCCTTTGTGATTTAATAAGGGGGAGGACGAATCCCTTGGCTGAACAGACTAACACTGTTATAAATACAACAAGGAGTCCGGTGGCACCTTAAAGGCTAACAGATTTATTTGGGCATAAGCTTTTGTGAGTAAAAAAAACCTCACTTCTTCAGATGCATGGCCATGAAAGCTAATGCCCAAATAAATTTGCTAGCCTTTAAGGACTCCTTGTTTTTTGTGAATACAGACTAACATGGCTACCCCCTGATCTTGACACCGTGCAAGGCATTGTTATAAATACTGATTGGTGGCAGAACTTTGATCTGTCTTCTGCTGGGCAAACATAGAGCCCCAATCCTGCAAAGATTCAAGATGGGGAGTAATGTTACTCACCAGAGTAGTCCCAATGATTTAGTGGGAGGTGCTGTGTCTTCAGCAATAACTTTGTAAAAGTAATAGTCTTAGTATGAGATCATAAGGATTTTTGGTTTTCATGAAGTTAGAACACGTGAGGTGTGAGAGTGTTGTGTAGGGTTTCAGTTTGCAGTTTTGACCAGTAGGTGGAGAGAGTGAAGTAAATAGGAAAAAGTGGTATGCATATTCATTAAGGGGGCAGGGCTTTTGCTCTCTGTATGCTATATGCCATAGTCTGCAGCAGGGGGAGAAAGTGGAGAAAATGTTTCTGACAAGTAGCTGTGTATGAAGGCAAGATTATTAGTGAGTAAATTACTGTTGGAGATCAGACTCTCAATAGTGCTGAGAAAAACTTATAAGGGTAAAACACAGGGAGCTGTTTTCCTTCCACATAAAAATCCACTGGCACCAGCAGTTCAGGGGATTGAAGAAGCTTTGGAACTCTATCATAAAGCCAACCTGAAACAAGATGGAAGACGAGGGGATGCAGGAAAAATAAATTCTGAGCAAGCCTTGCAGCTGGGAGAAAAGCAATAGTGGAAGCAATACATGAGGTTTCCTATCTCCAAAATCCTCCCAGATCCAGAGAGAAACACCAAAACTCACAATCCAAAAACTAAACTTAAATAATTTCTATAAGAAAGTGAAGCAAAACTGTGTCAATGCAGGTGTATTTGGGGAAGAGTATGCATGTGCATAGAGACAAGGAACATGGTTTTTAAAAGCACCGAATTGATTTAGGAGGTCAAATCCTATTGAAACATGGGCTCCTATGTCACTTAGGTTCTTTGAAAGTTTTATACATTATGGCCAGCTGGGGGACAGTTTGGTCAAAAGAGCAGTAGAGATTTGCTTCTAGATTGAACTGGGGTCTTCATCATTTTCCAGGGCCTGTTCCAGACCTACCAGGATTAAGTGAAAAGATGGAAGCGTCCCAGAGTTCTCCCCTGACTAGTGTGTGAGACTAGTATTGCCAAACCCACGTGTTCAGAAATGAGTGAGACCCATCCTCCCAAATCATGTGATTGTTAAACAAGAACCCAAAATGTATTCTTCTTTATCTTCTATCAGGGGGTAGCCGTGTTAGTCTGTATCTACAAAAACAACAAGGAGTCTGGTGGCACCTTAAAGACTAACAGATTTATTTGGGCATAAGCTTTCGTGAGTTAAAACCTCACTTCTT